CATGGGCGACGCACCAGATCTAGGAGTCATGATGCAGTTCGTATCCACTAACTTTCCGGGAGCGATCTTAAAGGTAAGGGACATGTCGTCTTCAACTTCTCGCGGCTTGTGTCGATAAAGATTATTCGGAAGTACGGAGTTACATTTTTTATTATTACTAGATTTTTTGTTTTGTTTTTTTATATTAAAAGTTTTTAAAAATAATTTATAAATGTTAAATTATAATTTTATTTTTAATTATAAATTATATTTATATTATATTTTTTACAAGTTATTTTACATATTTACACTGTAAATGTATTGACGTTAATATAGTTAGCATACTATTACTATAATAATACATTATGCCATGTGTTATGTACGTGCACGTGACATAAGGTATTATAAGTGTGCGTGTCGTAAGCTTCAGTCCTCTAACATGTCAGTTGATCCCTGGACTCGACCGTAAAAACCATCACAAGTCGCCTCTAAATCTGGCTTCCTCTCCTACAAGAAGGAAAGGTCCCCTTCAAACGTGAGTCTGCTCAGGGGATGAGGTATGATCATAAGCTGAGGCATGGTGTGCACATATCATGCTCCACGGTGAATGGTCTTCTCGCGTGATGAGGTATGAGCATGTGAGACGTGGTGTGCACCTGGCATGCTCTACAGTGAATGTTCGTGTTTGTGTGTTGCAGGAACAGCATCACAACCAGCTGCAGTATCTACTCAACACGAACTCTGTGTCTCTCGCTCAGCTGTTTCACACGATGGAAGCGGCTAGAGGACCTTACAACATAGAGGACTATTCCATCAGTCAGACAACACTGGATCAGGTAAAACTGATCAAACAGATACAGTAGATACATGGTTAAATAAATAAATAAATAAATTATTAATAAATAAATTATTATACTAGTCTTAACGGTTTCAGTAAGATAATGGCCATCTTGATTATGAATTTATTACATCTCATGGAACATGCTAGGTATATGAAATATATAAAACAAGGAGTTAATAGTTTCTTAGTATTCTTTATCTTTCGTATCTGACAGGTGCTAGGTCAGATGAGGAGTAAAAAGTAACGCGTAATCTGATTGGCTGTGAAAGCTCTTTAACATTTGAATTTCGAATTTCGAGTTTTTAATTTTGATTGAGCTTTCTGGTCCTATAATTATATGTTAGTTAGTTAGTTAGTTACGAATCCTGTGAGGTGTGATCTGACCGATTTGATTTGTCGCATCTTTGCAGGTGTTTGTCAACTTTGCTAAGATGCAGACAGATCTACTGGACAAGGACACTGCATTGCTAGCGTCACAGCTCTCTCTCGTGAACGGAAGCTGCGCGACAGTTGAAGCCCACCCGTCCAGCCTAGCAAGTGAGTCGGAATGCAAAGCCTTCGATGAAACTAAATTCTAGCGCGAGGAGTGTGTGTGTGTGCGTGCGTGCGTGCGTGCGTGCGTGCGTGCGTGTGTGTGTGTGTCTGTGTGTGAAGGTGCTACAGTATTATACAGTGGGTTTATAGTGTGCCAGATCGGCTGTGGTTGAAATGTGTAGGAACTGTGTTATACAGACCTAACACATGCAATGCTATGCAATGATTGCATAATATAGATAACTCACAAGAATAACTCACAAGAAGCTCACAAAGACGTGGAGAGGGAGGGATGAAACGAAAGGGTGGAAAGGGAAGAAGAGACGTGAGGAGAGGTGGGGGAGAGGGGAAGAAGACTCTAGTCAGAATAGAAAATTTGTGCAGGTTATGTTGATGATTTTATGAGTCACCTAACTTGCTGCCTCCATAGATATTTTTGTATGCAACAGTTTTTTATCAAATTTGTTTTCATTCCTAACAAATTATTTAAATGTTAAAGACAAGCATTTACAATATGTTGGTGATATGGATTTAATATAGCTCTTATTAACTGTATATGACAGGGAACAAAGAGTAGGTGGTGTGGTTGCCTCACAGGACTTTTGTTTGAAGTTACTGGGTTTTAAGTCACAATAAAGAGGCGGTTTGTTGATCACGTGACCAAGACACTGATGCGTTAGTCAGTTGAGATAGAGATAGGTTCAGAGTGCTGGGTTTTGATAAACTACTTCCAACCCTTGTAAAGGAGTAAGGGTTTTTGTTGGATGATGCTTGATAACAAAACCAAAGCAACACAGTTGCTGCATGCCCATGCCCCACGGGGAACCATAAGGGATGCAAACATGTGTCCTAATGTATCTTGGTAACTCATAGATTAGAGTATTGCCTCTTCCACATTACAAAGAATGTTCAGCTGCCACCTCCATCTATTTGCTTGCTTTACAACTATTAACTGCTAATAGTCTGACTAACTGTGTTCACTCCCTGATTAACGCATGATAATAACGTATTTTACTCATTTCTTATTGTCCACTTTTATTGCTTTGTTATGTATGTTTGAACGTATGTCTAATATAAACACCTATGCATGTATGTAAGTATGAATATCTATATAATATGTGTATAAGTATTTATATATATCTATATATATATATACACATATGTAACCCCATATGTGCCATCAGATTACATAGTTAGACATTGATATAATGTCATTCAAACGCACTAACATTCGTTAATATATACATACATATATCACGCATGAATTCACGCACTTTGTAACGTCTATTAACAGCTCGGCAGCTTTCTCATTATACTAGTCATTCACTCCGCCATGCTTGCACTACGCCCGCGTCGTGCGTTTTCCACGAGCTTGCATGCCATTCTACTTGCTTCCTGTAGGTGTGCCTCAGGGCTGGGAGCAGGACATGCTACCTCACGCTGATGCTGATGATGCTGATGCTAATGTTCCCGACATTGTTGCATTTTAATTACCGACTGGCTTCGGTGTGAATTGGATACCAGACCATCATCTCAAATGCGCACGTACGCACGCATGCACGCACGTGCATACATGTACGCGCGCGAACCCGCATGCACGCGTAGCTACGAACGTACGTACGCACGTGCATGCATACACAGGCATGCATACATACACACACGTGCATACGTACACGCACGAACCCGCATGCACGCGTAGTTACAAACACACGTACGTGCATGCACGCACACGCACACATGCACACACACACAGTTACAGACATGTAAACCTAAAATGATATGTCACTGTGTAATGTATGTAAACTAAATGAAGCACTTTGCCACGGGCGTGATGGCGCGCAGTTTTGTTGCTTGTACATCTGCCGTATTTTTTCGTTTCTATGTAACGATTAATTTTAACCCCGCTAGAGGTTGCCCAGTATTATTATGTTGTACAACGTGTTATATGTTACTGCATGGTAGGAGGCGATATATAATCGTAACACCCCAGCAGGACACGCATTGGTGTGCTTTATCAGCTAATTGGAAGTTTGCTAGCAGTAGTCGTGTACGATAATCCACTAATAATATTGTCATCAATGAATTCAGGTTGACTAGTCATAACTCAAACAATACCCGAGATAGAATAAACAAGCGAAACTATATATATATACATATATGAGGACATGAGAAGAGAATACATTATATCAAGAGCGGATAATACCTGTATTATCCGCTCTTGATTATAACTATATATATATATACATCCACATAATTATATATATTCGATCTCAGAACCTTGATGTGAACTAATTTGCAGCTGCAGCTTCGGCAGTTAAGGCAGCAGACACTCAGCCAACGTCCACAGTATAACAATAACATATTACAATATATATATATATAATATATATATAGTAGGTAAAGGAAACGTTCCCTTGATGGATGTATGAATCACTAGACAGTATAAGCCCGACGTCCGTACGTGCGCACCATACTACTGCGAGATAGGGGATGCTTGAATGAAAATTAGGTGAATATGGTAAAAAACTATATATAGGTATAGGTAAGATGTAGTTTAATAAATACTAAATGCTTTGAACCACTGCCGGCAATAGCTTGTGATGTTAGTCACTATATGAATAACAATGCAATTAGAGACGCACCTGCGTGACGTCAGAACTAGCAGACGGTACTATCAGACGTCCTCCCAAATGCGTGTGTAATATTCCAACCAAATTATATGTTAATTCATTATATAGCGTAGTAACGGTGATCTGTTCCTTTTCGTATAGAGTTCGTAACAAATATGTTCAGACACATAATTAAAGTAATTGTGATGCAGATAGAGTTTGCTTAAAGGCCATTTCTACTTACGTGTCAATGTATTTTTACAGAGTAGATGTGCTATAGGAACAGCCATAGAATATATATGATAGATATAGATATAGAATATATATGTAATACATCATCTATATATAAGATGACAAAGACTATAGACTCTAAGAAGCTTGGATTGGGAACAACGGAGTAGGTATTCCCCTGAATAGAACAAAGCTCACGCTGGGGTAACCCTCGCCCTTGACAAGATACCCAGGTAGAACCTAGTCTTATATTTGTCACTGACCAGCGTACGTAATCAGAATATACTGCGATGATGAACACAGCCCAGTGAACGTAAAATATTTATATACACGTGTGTGTAATATAGGATACCAGTGCAGTGTAGTAACTCTACTAACACATTGTAAAACATTCAACCCCATATTTCATTCTGTTACGATCTAAATAACATATCGCGCGCATGCGAGTTTAAATCACATCACACATATATTTTCAGGTTTATTTTAATTTCCACTATGCGTTACAAGAGCCTATATTATTTTATTAAGTCACTTGACTTCGTAACGTATACCGTATACGTACTTTCATAAAAAAGACCGCTGCATAAAGGCAGATAGGAGTACATGTATGCAATTCGATCCAACTGCCCTATAGTTGTTGGCCTTATCCAGTATAATCACATAACAACGGTGTACAACCGCATGCGTGCGTGCTGTTCCGCCGTGCGTTCGTATTCGTATGTGCGTTCCCAAAGAGATTGCGACTGTATTAGCATCACAGAAAGTTCTATGATAGTGATCACGAAATAGTGCCTTAAAGTTTGATCATTGTCAACTGATCAAAGACAGTAAGTTGTCTTGACAATGAAACTATATTCTGTAATTATATTTAGAAAAAATATGTCCGACTGTTTCTAGATTATCATTAAGGTCTGTGTACCTTTATAATTTAAATTGTAATTTACTAATTAATCAGTGTTCTATTCTTTTGAGCAATGTTACATTTGAATTAAAATAATAATCGTGTGAGAGAGAGTTGGTTCTAGTTTAAAATTGATAGTGCTTATTTATTCATCCGTGGCCTGTTCGAATAAAATGGAAATGGCTTGAATATTTTTAGATAACACAGAAGTTTATGAAGTAAAGACTTCCTGTATGCAAGCGTACCCTTATAATATATGCACGGTTTTAAGTTGAATAAAGTTCAGATGTGTACAAGTCCACAGGAACGCGATGTTCGATTTCATTATTTGAGAAATTATTCCTCTTTTATTTCCGCACAAGCACAGTGATTAACACTATTACTAATCACAATTTGTTTACCATTTATAACATGTAATGCCCTTGTTCTATCATAACTGACTAGGGCATGTTTCTTTAAAAATTATCAACTGTTTTACTCACCTAACATTATTCTAGAATCGACCAATTGTTTTACTATTTATAACATTGTAGAATCACCACATTGTTTTACGTATTCATAAACATGATTCTAGAATGCACAATATTGTTACTATTTAAACATCGTAGATTGCAACACATTGTTTACTATTCTAACAGATTCTAGAATGACTCAAATTGTTTTTACTATTTATAACATTGTAGACTGGCACCACATTGTTTTACTTATTTATCAACATGTAGAATGCACCAACATTGTTTCAATACTTGTTAACATATTCTTAGAATTGCAACCAAATTGTTTACATTTATAACATTATCTCGAATCACCACATTGTTTTGGCTATTCATAACATCATTCTCAGAATGCACCAAATTGTTTTTACTATTCATAACATTATTCTTTGAATGCACCAATGTTTTCATATTTAACCATTGTAGAATGCAATCACACCATTGTTTCCTATTCACTAACATTATTCGAGAATGCACCACATTGTTTCATATTGTTACATATTCTAGAAGCACAATTGTTTACTATTATATAACATTGTAGAATGCAACCACATTGTTTCAATATTGTTAAACATTATCCTAGAATGCCACCACACTTGTTTTATACTTCCATCAACATTATTCTAGATGCCACCACATTGTCTTTGCCATTCATAACATTATTTTGAAGATGCACCACATTGTTTTAACTATTGCATAAATTCTAGAAATCACCACCAGTTAGTTTTGTATCATAACATGCATTCTAGAATGCATGCAAATTGTTTTACTATTTATAACATTGTAGAATGCCCACATTGTTTTACTATTCATAACAGTTATTCTCGAATGCCGCACCACATTGTTTTACTATTCATAACATTATTCTAGAATGCACCACATTGTTTTGCTATTCATAACATGATTCTAGAATGCACCAAATTGTTTTACTATTTATATAACATTGTAGAACATGCCACCACATTGTTTTCAATATTGTTAACATTTTCTGAATGCATCACATTGTTTTACTATTCTTAGACTATTATTCTAGAATGCAGCCAACATTGTTTTGTATTCATAACATTTATTCAATTGAATGCACCAA